AATATAGGCCTAGTCTATATTACTAAAATTACACGCATAAATAGCTATAAACTGGCACCAGTGTCGAGAGAACTTTAATATGGGTCAGTCAGGCTCATTGACAAGCACCGGTCTTCCTAATTGCACTCTTCCTTTGTAAAGTCGAAATCAGCTCTGCGTAGGGTCTGAGCACTCAACCAAGAGCACATTCAAATACCGCCGCCTAATAATCATAACTCCTATATTGACATATAATATAATGCAAGCTCAGCGCGAGCCCATTACGGCGAATTAATAGATCGCAGAAGCATTATCGCCTGTCGAGTATTGATCGGGTAACGTCTGTAAAATATTGTTTCAAATCAAGGGCATTGTTAACAGTTCTTTTTTCCTATTGGCTTACTGATGACCTTGATCCACTGTCATAAACCGGGAAAAAAAAATAGACTAGCCTATCACTCGATAATTTCCATTTGACTATTTATGCAAAGAAGGAAGGTTGGGTAAACAGATAAAATAGCCTACACTTTGCGCATTAACATAGAAGACAGAGCTAGAAGAACAAAAGTTTGAACAAATAGTGCATATAACCGGTATTTAAACAATCCCCTCACATAATTTGTTCATAAATCATCTCTTTCTGGCTGTGATTATTCCTATTTGCGCAATAGTGTTTTCTTTGTGAATATGAAGGGGCTGTCAGCTAATCAAAGCCTGGCTATTCAAAACTGGCGGAACGGTGATTTAACAATTTCGATAAAACGCAATGTTTAGTTAGCCGACCTCACATTTTCGAGCGGAAAGGATAGCAGCTCTCTGCGTCACAGGATGAGACTGACAAAATGGACTATCATCTGCCCTATTGAATTATCTTTCGCTGTGTAGGGGAAAATGTATTTCAGCGCTCTGCAAAGCACATTTACCCACAATAGACGACGAGAACGTGAACTCAATCCCGTGTATAACGCTTGAGAAGGAGCGGGCCTAGGCCTGTCTTTGCTTATTACTTTCTCGAAATGTTTTGGTGTTTTTCATGGAAAAGGATATCTTCTTTTTTTGCCCCACCTTTCCCATTTGCCTTTGTGATTGAAAGCGAGCGTCAGATTTTCATCAAAGTTCTATTAAGTGAAACATAGGTTGCGGGGCAGCCTCTGATTGAAACAGTTTAAATTTTAATTGTGTTTTTAATTTGACATATAGTTGCGGAGAGGAATGACACCACAACGCCGAGGGGCGGTCGATTCGCTTAATTTCTCCCTCAGGGATTGATGAGTATATCAGAGCAGTAGATTGGAAACCCATTAAGACTCAATGGTTAGGTTGTTAATTGGATCTTGATGAATAGAAGCCCTTGGTTGAACTATACTGATCCAATCTTCTTGACTTTCTGTTTTCCAATAAATTACCCAATTCATTTCCCAGCCGTAGATTACATAAATTGTACACCTCCAGGGCTTAAGCTTCCCGCCTGCTCTCGCTCGCTCTCTCTCTCTCTCTCTCTCTCTCTCTCTGCAAAACCATTTGAGAAAAAAAATAAAAGACCAGCCTCAGAATCTTGAATGAAAATCGAAACATAATCAGCGTTTATACTTAGAAAATTTATTGATATCATTTTCTCTGGTAATTTCCTTATCTTAAAGTTGGACATGCCATATATCATAATACACACGTGTAAAGGGCCCTTTGTTTAATATTTATCGAAGCTTGATTTTCAGATCAAAGGCGCCCATGACTTCATCTGTCTTTCTGGCGGAAAGCATTTTTTGCCAGAGCTCGATGTGTATGTTCGGTCATTACTGTCTGCCGCATGTACAGACAGCATGTGCAAAAACGCCTGTTCTAACGGATTTGAAAGATGTTTAGCTTTGTGAACGCGTGACAGATTGTCCCACAATCGCTGGGTGTTCATCATGGTACACCTGTCTAGGTATTTGTGAAACACATAGATAAAATTGCTCATAAGCAGTAATAGAAATACAACTTTTTTGGATTAAACGCGTCTTGATAGCACACACACACACACAAATGCACTTTTCATACCAATTTAAACAGCCTTCAACAAAAATTGTGACAATACGACTCCCTCCTCCCCAAACACGTAGAATATATAATAGCCTATAGGCTACTGTGAGGGGCCTGCATTTCTGGTGTAGCCTATTGTTTTTGTTTAATATGTCTAAACGGCCTTTAAGCCATCCAGCCTCGGCTGACAGGCGCAGCGTATAAAACCGGCTCTTTAACGATCATTGCGGATTTCACGCCTTATGTGAATGCGCCATAAATCGTAGGGCCGCTGTGAACTAGACCCTCATATTTTACGCACTAAATGGCTATATGTGGGCATATGGTCGCTCACAATAGGTCTCTTTAACAACCGTTCCAAACAGAGTTGCAGATTGTGACAGTTCAACCACATCGTTTCCATCATCGTGCACAGGCTAGTGCACGTGTCGTACTTCCAGGGTCTTACTAGACCAAACTAACACCCATTGATATGTTTTCGTTCTAGCCACAGGTACACTTTAAACAGACACTCTTCAAAATAAGGTTCTTCAGTGGTTAATTCAACAAACACCCTTCTAATGGCTATGGCTCTAAGTTCTTGACTGTGGTTTTTTCATATATATTAGATTTTATTTATTAGATTTTTGTTGGATATATACATTTTCATCACAAAAATAATAAATATAATTACTATTAATTTTTAAAACAAAATGTAGCTGTTTTTCACTGATATGGCCCAGTTAGTCTGTGGTTGGGAGACCCATGTGTGCAGGGCATTACTGCCGACCTTTGAAATTTGTAGTCGGGATCGCTCAACCCTGGCTCCCTCTGCTCGATTAGGTGTCCGCGCGCTGTCACCCCGACAAAGCCAGAGCATTTGTTAAGTGTCGCCAGCCTTTAGAAAACGCTAACGAGAGCTAATGTGGCAGAGCCACAGCTGCCCTCGAGACACGAGTCAGGGGTAGGGCGAGCGCACACCCCCAATCAATTAGTCAATCAATTAAACAGGGTCCTGCCCGCTCTAGCCGGCCCGCAGAGGCAGTAGATTAGCCCACCATAATGATCAAATTAATTCTTAAACGGAGATAATGGACGTGGAATGAGTTTATTATTTTCAAGAAAAATGAGATAGGATCCATTATTAGTTCCTAGACTGCGAGTTGGATTATTTGACCAATTTGCCATTTATAGCACAAGACTAGTGGAATTTAAAACGACTGTTTAATAAGATATATTATTTTGAACTAAACCATGGATTCAGATGACTTGTGATTAGGAGGTTGGTTATTGTTGTACGCATGAACTTGAGAACTCTATGCATGTGCTTGAGATGCCTAACTAGTCATGAACAAAGACACCTCGATGGATCAGCACCTCGATGGATCAGCAGCATGGTCGTCTGTGCAGTGGATTTCTGTGTGAGGATCACAGTCTACAATGAAATATGTTTGAAAAATGCTTCTGGATCAGTTAAGCTCTTAATTGCATGGTCAAATATTGTGACAATCTTTTGACAAACAAGCGTTATACTAAAGTTCTTATTACATTTGTTTTAACTGCAGAGGCCTGTTCGCATGAGCATCCAATACAAGTCGTAGTTTTAAGATCAACAAATAAATCAAAAATAAGCTCGTTATCCTGTAAACAGAAAAATATTATGTCGATATAAGGGAGCAGGAAATTACTTAAATTAGAAGCAATAATAATATCAATTTATCAAAGTGGAAAACCAGAGGCACATATGACAATGAATGATTATCCATCCTGTAGTTCACATAAAGCTATTAAAATGTTGGTTATAATTTCTCGTTACAGTGATATTCTGCAGGCAAACGTCCGTCAAGTAGTCAAGTTGTGAGGGAAAAGGACAAAATAATGTTGACCAGCCTACAGCTAGACCGTGACAAGTGCATTGTAAAGCATTTGGGGGTACATTTACAGTGGAATAAACGGCAGTTGTGTATGAGATGGCATTTTGGTCATTATATTTGATATTTTCTAACCCTGTATGTCCTTTAATTACATAATGTTAATATACCAACATATTTAGACTCTTTGTATTACATTTATTACAGCAAAATGTACTGACAGCACATGTGGTACAATGGAAGGCCACATGATTTCTTTTTTTTTTTTTTTTCAAAATGGGTCTCTCCAGCATCTGTGGTCAATAAAACACCCATGACACTAAACCAAATGCAATGAATTATTAACTAAATAAGCTTAAACTATTAAACTAAATAACATAAAATGCAAAATAAAACACTTAAATGTACGTAACTGATAACAAGCATAAAAACAAAAAAATTAAATAAAAACTAAACAAATATGACAGTTCGCGCATAGGGAATTCAGAGAATGCCCCTTTCCCCAAAAATTCCCCCTGAAAAGGTGATACTTTTTACTTAAAAATAATAATCTAGAGTAAATGTATTGTGTAGCTAAATAGAATATAAATGTGTACATTTATGCGTTTTTATAATATTTTGCAATAAAATTATATATTATCTATAAAACATAATATTGTTTACCATATATAATAAGGTAACTTACAGTTAGTCAAAAAACAGATTTGCACTGTTGTATTTTTCATTCTTTTCACTTTAAAACTTTTTTAAATAAAAAAAGTGTAATATAGGCAGTGTAGTATAATGTTTTGCACCAAGTTAATCTCCCTCGAGCGCTCTGCACTTCTAGTAAACCACTGACGACGAACTCAACCTTTATCAAATTTGAAATTTCCGGGCGCGCTTTGAGCGCGTGATTGGCTAGCGCCGGTCTTACCTACATGCAAATGAGGGCACGTTCCACCCGCCTTGAGACCAGAGCGTGTGGAAGTGGAGAGGAATGCATTCGAACACTTTTGAACCCACGAAAAACAAGTTTTTTTAATGTCCCAACAACGTTAAAGAACCATTTTCAAATTGGAAGAAAAACATCTCTATGTTTAGCGGAACTTATTACTGCGTTGGCATTGTATCATTTTTAGAACATTTTTGAACTGTTATGAGGCGAGAATGAATAATTCGGAGGACAGCGGAAGCAAGTGCTCGCCTGCCCCCATTTCAAGCTTCACGATCCAGTCCATTCTGGGCACCTCCAATGAGGGAGTCCGGTCGGCTGGAAAGGACATCCCCAAATCGCAGCCGAGGAAGCGGACGTTGTCCGTGTCATCGGAGGACGACTGCAGCGCCGGAGAGGACTCGGGCGACTGCTATTGCTCTGAGCCCGGTGTACCAGAGTCCTGCAACCCGCACCAGCCTCTGAACTTCTGCCTCGGTAAGTGACGATACCGTCAGTGTCTTTGTATTGCTATTATGAGACAAACGTTACCGCCATGGTCAATATAGACATTTCTGATGTCATGATGTTTAGTAAGAAATTCACTTTATAAATCGTCTCACTTCAGAAGCAGTAAGTATATAAAACATGAACTGTTTGTTGTTACTGGCTGTTGCTATGTTGTCCCAATTGCCACCACTATAAAAAACTCCAGTAGTGTTTTTATCCGACATATTATCGCTCGGTGAACAGGGGAAAGGTCAAATAATTAACCGAATTTAACCGAGTCTGCTAATTGATTATGCCGGCTTTCAGAGGCAACGCTGCATTTCGTCAATTGAGCGTTAAATATAACACGATTTAATTAATATCGTGCACCAGTGCTAGTCATATTGTATTGTTTATTTAACAGGGCACTTGTAACCTTTCAACAGTCGATCAAACAGTCAGAGTTCAAATTTAATGAACTCTTGTGTAAAGTATCGAGTAATGGCTATGTTTAGCCTAATAGAAAAAAACCCACCGAGTGAATTTGATGATGGACGAATATTCTAAGCACTTTTTGTGCCACACTAAAAATAAACGTGTTTGCAACCATTTATTGAATACACACATTAGTTATGCATATACTGAAGCACAAAAGCTTTATATCATTATTCAAAGGACTGGAGGGTTGTGTTTTAACAGCACAATTTGATAAGACGAAATTTTTGTTGCATTGGTTGCAGGTGCCACAAAGGGACTTCTACCTGTGCAGGATGGGATCGACCGCCGGCCGCATTTGACACCGACCATACTACCGGATTACAAAGAGGAGCAGGAGCGAGCGTGTAGCCAAATGTCTCCAGTTTCTGAAGAGAGACAACGTGATGGCCCGGACAAACAGAGCAGCTCCGCCAAGAAGAAGACGCGCACCGTCTTCTCTCGGAGTCAGGTTTATCAGCTCGAGTCCACGTTCGATATGAAACGCTATTTGAGCAGCTCCGAGAGAGCCTGTCTCGCTTCCAGCCTGCAGTTAACGGAGACACAAGTGAAAACATGGTTTCAGAACCGGCGGAACAAATGGAAACGTCAGCTCTCAGCGGAACTGGAAGCTGCGAACATGGCGCACGCATCGGCGCAGACTTTGGTTGGGATGCCTCTCGTTTTCAGAGAAAATTCGTTGCTCCGAGTGCCGGTTCCGAGGTCCATCGCTTTTCCTACCCCACTGTATTACCCTGGAAGTAATTTACCAGCTTTACCATTATACAATCTTTACAATAAGATTGAATATTAACTTTTGCGCACAACGAAAATTCCTTGCTAAAGGATGACACATTATTACTCACTAAAACGTACAAAATACACATTTAACTATGTTTGACAAAATTCGTGTCTATTTATACCTCTTTATTTGGTGAAAAAATATATTTCTTATTATGCTGCAATTAAACGAGTGTAAAACACAAAAGCAACACGGTTCTGTATATGTCCTATAAAATACACCATGTGTATAATGATTATTTTGTACTATTATTTACATTTCTGTCCCCCCGATTAACCAGTTTTACACATTATAAGGAGTGAAAACATTGAAATAAAAGTGTAATCATTCGATTCCTGTCTCTAAAATGAAAACATCGGAGATTTGGAAAGAACACTCGTCAATAATTATAATAATAATAATGTATTGCACTGTATTGTATTTATTATTATTATTATTTTTAAAAAGAGGTCTATAAAATACACAATGATTGACAGTAATACTAGCTTAAAAAACTGCAATAGCACATTTTGATGTGATGCCTTTTCTTCTAAACAACAACATATTTACTAATATTTTGATTATTTTGTGAGCAGTCTTCGAATGAGCACAATAGCAAAAGGCCTACATGAAACCATGAAATCTTGTGAATGAATCTTTAGTAGTGCGCATATATATATATATATATATATATATATATATATATATCCTATATATTCAATTTTATACACCGCTTTCTGTTTCGTGTGTTTATGAGCTCAAGACAAACATTTGTGTTATAGTGACACTGGGTCATGTAAAGTGTCCCCATTTGATGCTTTCGCAATTAGGGATAATTACATGTTGCTTGTCACACGAACACGCATTCAAACATTCTCGGAGACAAGCGGAACGTCAAAGGCGCAGCGGGGCCTCAGAGAAGCCGCAGTCAAGAATGACAGTGCTCGCGGTGCAATCTGATAAGACGCACCCGCTGTCAAATTACAAAGGGTGTAGTGGTGTCATGTTGCACTGATTCCATTTTCTCTATACCTGCCACGGAGAAAGTTCATTATCAACACACACAAGTACTTTTTTTCCGACATGATGACAACAGTTTGAATGCCACCCCGAAATATGTTAATCGACTGCAGATTAAACAACGCAGTTTTAACGGAATCTGAGAGAAATGTGATGTTGCGCACAAATAAATAGTTAATTATGAAGCAATAGTTACATTTTAAATACAGTTAGTCCGTACAGTTTTAATTTAAACATCAGCAAACACCTTCCTTTTTTTCATAGTTGGCGGATATGGTTTAAAAACAGAAACAAATGTTGCTCTTTTTAATTGTGATTTATATACTATATTTCTTTGAAAAATTCGTACTTCGTAATTTGTACAGCCAGTTTTGTTAGCTATTTGTTGGCTATTTTTTTTATCAAAGTGACCCCCCCCCCTCCCCTTCTTTCTCACCCTAAAATCGCAACAAAAAAACCCTGAAACATAAGTGACTTCCCTAAAGGCAGGATGAAGAGAAGCTCCTAGCTTGCTAGTAATACTGTTGTTGCTGTCTGTTTGATTGACAGCTCAGACCAGAGGTCAGACTGCTCATGACATACATGCGAGCATAAACTTATGTGACTTCCGTGTAAATTTCATCCTGTGGGTTTTCAGTGTTTTCACATACACTTCCATTCACCGCTTCACACATCCATCTGTAGGTGAAATGGCAGGTGTGAATTACAAATTTTAATAGCACAGCAATGAAAATGATTTGAAGTGGTTTGAAGAGGTGGAAGACAGTGTGGAGCAGATTTGTTGAGATGATGTGTTGTGCCTCAGGATTCATCAAACTTGCCTGGCACAGCGGAAAGCAGGAGTAATTCAGTTTGGGATGTAATTTATGAGCAAGGTAATGGGCACTATATATAAAGTGGAGAGAGAGAAAGAGAGTGAGAGAGCAATAGAAATACAGAGAGAGAGAGAGATCGAGAGAAATGTTTTTCCATTCTTCTAACATCAGACCTGACATTGGTCTATTAATTTAAAAGCAGTGCTAAATCTAAAAAAATAAAATAAAAAAAAACCTTCAGCATTGCTTCTGTACATTCATGCTGTCTGTCCATATATGTGACCCTGGACCACAAAACCAGTCATAAGGGTCTGGATTTATACATAGCTGAATAAATAAGCTTTCCATTGATGTATGGTTTGTTAGGATATAGGACAATATTTGGCAGAGATACAACTATTTGAAAATCTGGAATCTGAGGGTGCAAAAAAATTTAAATGTTGAGACAATCGCCTTTAAAGTTATCCAAATGAAGTCATTAGCAATGCATATTACTAATGATAATACATTTTTTATATATTTACGGTTGGAAATTTACAAAATATATTCATGGAACATAATCTTTACTTAATATCCTAATGATCTTTGGCATAAAAAAAAATCAATAATTTTGACCCATACAATGTATTTTTGGCTATTGCTAAAAATATGCCCGTGCTACTTATGACTGGTTTTGTGGTCCAGGGTCACATATTAGCTAATGTTCTGCTTTCATATTATGCATGTATCTGTATTTTGTTGAAACTGCTCAATAATGAAGGAGTGCTGCAGGTTTGGACGGACATTTGCAATGATTGTCGTTCACTACAAACAGCATCTAACAGAAGCTGCTTTTCTCTAAATTAATTTAAGAAAAACATAACAAGGTTTCTGATTGGCCTCTGTATCACTTATGACCCCCACATGAGCGGCTGTACCTCTAGACTAATGGCTGAAATGAGGAGCTTGAGTCTGAACTGATTCTGGTTTATATCAAATCTTAATGGAGGAGCCGAAGGGAAATTATGTTTGGATCCCCCCAGACAATAACTAAATATGAAAGCCACTTAGTAATTTCCAGATGCACACTGAGATAACTTTCAGTTGTATGACAGAGTTTAACATTTCATTGATGTAGTGTTTTAGTGTACCATTCACAACTATATATATACTGTATATATGTGTGTGTGTGTGTATTTATCCTATGTATATATATATATATATATATATATATATATATATATATATATATATATATATATATACATACATATAAAAAATTAAGTTATTTTTTTTCCTAAGTGATGATGAAAACTACTCCGCTTTCCTAATGTCTTCAGTCCAGTGAGGCTGATCACTTATTTCATTGGGAAGTAGAAAGAAAGTCCAGTACATTGAGCAAAATCAATAATCATGGTATAAAAGTATCTCATATGGCTGAACTTTTCTCTCAGAGATGAAAGGTGATCACGTTTATCCATTAGTTCACATTGATTGTGCAGATGCAAGAAAGCGCTTGATTAGCTGTTTTTATAGGTGCAGTACAATTGCTCATGTTTTCTTTAAAATGAAATTTATTACAGCAAAAGTTGCAGGAATGATTATTTTGAAAAATGAAAATGAAAAAATTATATATTTAAAAAAATTAATTATATATATATTTTTTAACACTTGTTGATTTTTTTAGAAACAACATTCAAGAAATACACATACAATTAACAAAAATAAAACGTTTAAAATAATAAAGCACTTATTTAGTACAGAATAAGGTAATAAAAAAGGTATTTTCTCCTTAAAAACAGTTGCATTGTTTAAAAACATCAAAGACACGTTCAAACTACTAAACAAATAAATAAATGCAGCAAAAGTGCTTCCTTTCTCACATGAAATATCACTGAAATGATGCAGTCACTGCAACAGTTGTGTGAGCTCTCTCTCTTCTCTCTCCTCCATCTCATCTGTACTATCTTACTCTTTGTCTCTTTCTCTCAGACCCTGCTTTTTTCGTACTGGAAGAGGAGGGGTTGGGGGGGGGGGTCATTATTCTATTTAAGAGGTACAATTTTAGTAATGGCTTTTGCTGCAGTCTACAGAGACACAGCCAGCCTCCCTCAATATCCTGAACATTATTTGCTCATTTAGTTAAATGATGTTTCTAATTGGTTCATAATTAGTTGTAATGAGGCGGGCCCGAACGTCTCTGATGCAGATACGTCTTAATTCAACATGGCATCTCGCTTCTTCAGGAATAGTTGCCCATGGTTCTCGGAGGGATGGAAGCGAGAGGAAAGCTGTAAGGGGGAGGTTTCCTGCCATTGTGTGTTCCCGTAAATTGGAAAATGAAGTTTGCGGAGCAGTGGGGTTGAAGACCGGGCCATCATGAGCACTGCTGCTGTCTTTCTTAAATGATCTGGCCAATTGTCAAGAACCAAATATGGTTGCTACTTTGACATAGAACAGACAGAATAGAGCATTTAGTATGGTGTGTTAGAGATTTATTTCATAAATGTTTACTAAAACATTCATTTTTTATGGTAGATGCATGGGGAGGGAAGGGTCTGTGCTCGTAAGTGAATGCTGTGAAAGAGGGAAAGTGAAGGTCATTGCGGCTGGTTGCTGTTAACATAAGACCCTTTTGTGGTTTGGATAAATGAACATGTCCATTCACTGGAGCCCATGCACTCACCCCTTTTAAGCAGAACAGCCTAGTAATACACACAGGCACACACAAACACTATCACACTTATATACACACACACAATCAGTGGTGCCCAATCACTTCGCTTAAACAGCTCTAACAACTGCATGTAGAGCCAGTCCGTCTGCCATTCCTCTGCTCTCTGTTGATTTTTCTCGCTCTCTTGTTTTCTTTCTCTCACCCACATCTCCAGATAAGCTCACTCATTCGTTGAGATTCACGTTGTAGTAGAAGTTGATCATGCATTCACTTACTCACTTGAGAGTAATTCTATATAAACCAACAGAGAGAAAAGTAAATATTTGTTGTCTGAACATTGACTTATTGAGCCTTTCCCTAGAAGTGAACTTGCATGTGATACCTGGGTAAGGCATTTGATTAGGTGTGTTTTATTTAACTCAATACTCTGCTCTTTTCTCTTTTTTATGCCAAAAACAAGCCATTGTATCTATCTAAATACATACGTAAGACTAATAATATCACTTTATAATTGTTTTTATTATTATTATTATACTTATTTTAGAATTAGGATTAATGCATAATATAAATAGTCTATAAATATATTAAAACATTTATAATATATAATTATAACACTACATTTAATATAAAATTTTTTATTTTATTTCTTACGCTAAATATAAAATATCAATAAAAAATATAATGAAATATATGAAAATGTATGAAATATAAAAATAAAAACCATCAATAATATGAATATATATAATCAAACACACACACACACACACACATACACACACACACACACAGGATACATTTCATCACACTCTAAAGAAACTTGCAAAAATAGGGCACACTGTACTGTATTAA